ACTAAGTGGTTGAATTGAATCTCTGTAAGATTTTTGTGCAAGCTTTGCTCACTTTCTTTGATTTATTTTCATCTTTTATTACAAAAAAGAGAAAATTTTGAAAACTCCAATTCACCCTTCTCTTGGAATATTTGAGTCAACAATTGGTATCAGAGCAAGGGCTTTAAATTGAAGGTTTAACCACATGGAAGTTGATTGGGGATAGCTCAAATTCAAGCTACAACACCACTTGTAAGTTTGTTTACCATCACATCTTATTTCTTTGATGGTTCTAATTATAATTATTGGAAGATATAATGAAAGTCTTCATGCTTGCTTATGAGCTTAAGACATGGCTTATGACGATCATATGTGCTTATGAAGATGGTTAGAGAAATTAAGATGCCAAAGAGAGAAAGTGGATGCGATGATGAAGATTTGAAAAAAAAAAATCAAAATCAACAATAAGGCTATCAACATGCTTCAATGTGCTCTCAATTCAATGGAATTTAATAAAACATTGGGGTGTGAGATAGCAAAGGATATTTAGACATGGAGACTACTCATGAAGGCACTAACTAAGTGAAAGAGTCAAAAATCAATAAACTCATTCACATGTATGAGCTTTTCACGATGAAGCTAAAGGAAAGTATTGGAGAAATGTATAAAAGATTCCATAAGATAGTCACCAATCTCAAAGTTCTTGGGAAGGGATATTCTACTAGAGAATTGGTGAAGAAGATTTTTAGAAGCTTGCCTAAGATTTAGAAAGCTAAGAAGACCATAATTGAAGAAGCTAAAGATCTCGACACTTTCAAGCTTGATGAGCTCATTGGATCCTTTATGACATATGAGATTAATATCAGGTGTGATGATAAAAGTTGAGGTGGCTGAGAAGAAGAAAAATGTTGCATTCAAGGCTAGCAAACAAAAAGAAGAAAGTAATAATGATGATGGTAATTATGAAGACATCTCTATCTTGGTCTTTAGAGAAGAAAAAAGGTTCATGAAGAAAATGAATTTCAAGAGTAGACTTGCCAAAAGGGACAAGGAGTACTTCAGAGAAAGAACGAATAGAGGTGAAGAAAGAGGAGAATCTAGTAAAGAAATGTGAAGTGCTATGAATGCAACAAAATAGGGCACTATAAAAATGAGGGTTCTCAATTGAAGAAGGGTGAGAAGAAAGACAAGAAGAGTATGAAGAAGAAAGCTTTGGTCACCACATGGAGTGATGATAAGCCTAGCTTAACAAAAGTGAAAGCTTTTTGGAGAATGATGCTATAAACATTTGCCTCATGGCTTAAGATGAGAGTAACAATGATAGGAAGGTAAACTTTAACTCTTCTAGTTTGATTAATAAAAGTTCATTTGAGTATTCTTAGGATGATCTATGCAAAGTTCTTGATTGCTCTATGATTAATATGAAGAGACTAGGGAATGAGAACCTTACTCTTACTAAAACTATTTCATTTCTTAAAAATAAGATTGAGTCTCTTTTAAAATAAAATGAGGTTTTAGTTAAAGAGAATCCTTCTGTAAGTATTGAGATTGTATTTTTGAAAGATGAAAAATCTAATGATGCTATGACAAAGAAAAATGAGGATTTGAAAAAGAAAATTGGTGATTTGGCAAAAGCGCTTTCAAAATTTACCTTAGGGAAAGAAAAACTTGATATCTTGATTTCTCAAAGAAGTGTGTTTGCTAAAGTAGGTATAGGTTTTGATCTTTCTAAAAAGCAAAAGACTTTAAAAAATTTTATTGTGAGAACTAGTAAATTTTCAAGTCCTAAAGTAAGTTTGTTTCATTATGGAGGAAAATGACTTATTGTACATGAATGTCCTTTGAAGAAATCAAGAGCTCTAGGCAAAGTTAGAAAAGTGTGGGTTCCAAAAGGAACTCAATATACTAACTCCCAAGGACTTAAGCAAATTTGGGTACCAAAAAACAAAAAATTGATTCATGTCATGTAAGTGTGCCTAGTGAGCAAAATGAAGAGCAAATGGTATCTAGATAGTGGATGCTTAAGGCACATGATAGGTGATCCTTCACAATTCTCATCCTTATGCCTTTGGATGGTGGAACTATGACCTTTGGAGACAATGGAAAGGAATTGTGAAAGGAATTAGTAAAATTGGTAACAAATATATCTTTTTTTATGGTATTTGGTATATAGATAATTTGAAACATAGTTTACTTAGCATAGTCAATTATGTGATCACATGCTTAGTGTTGTGTTTTCAAAATCTCATTGCAAAATTATTGATTTGAGAAACGTTCTTTGTTGTTAAGAAGCATATGTGATTGATTTGCATGACATAGATGCTAATGTTTGCCTTGCTTTCATATCTCACAATGATTCTTGGTTATGGCATAAACGATTAGGACATGCTAGCATGAGTGTAATTTATAAATTGTTGAAGCATAATCTTGTTGATAGTTTGCCTAAAGTGAATGTAAATTGGTAATAGGTTTGTGAGAATCATTTGCCATAATCATTTTAGGTTGAAGCCATTTTAACTACTTGTTATTTATTGAATAGAGTTATGGTGAGACTTATTCTTAACAAAACTCCTTATAAGATTTAGAAAGGAGGAAAACCTAAGATTTCTTATTTTGAACTTTTGGTTGCAAATGCTTTCTCTTGAATAATGGAAATGACTCTTTTGGAAAATTTGATTCTAGAAGTGATAAATGCATCATTATTAGATATTTTACCTCTAGTAAAGCTTATCATGTTTATAATAAGTGCATCAAAGTAGTTGAGGAATCAATCCATGTGGTATTTGCTGAAACTAACTCCACTTGTTGTAGAAAGTGTTGTGATGATGATGTAGATGCAACTAGAGGGTAAATGAAAGAGATCAATTTTAAAGAGAAAAACACCAAGGAAGCTCAAAAAGAGACAAATGATGAAGAGGAAAATGAAGAAGTGCAACAAACTCTAGTAAAGAGAGCCAACCCTCCCTAATGAGAGATCTAATGTTAAGAGGTAATCAAATCACTGAAAATCCATCAAATGAGGTAACTATTAGATCTCATATTTATAATACTTGTGATTTTGTTACTTTTATATCTCAAATTGAACTAAAGAATCTTCATAGTAATTTAAATGATCCTAATTCGGTGATAATTATGCAAGAGAACAGCTCAATTTGAAAGAAATAAGGTTTGGACTCTTGTTTCTAGACATAAAGACCATCTCATCATTGAAACTAAATGAATGTTTAGGAACAAGTTAGATTAGAATGGTATTGTGGTTAGAAACAACACAATGCTAGTTGTTAAAGGCTATTGTCAAGAGGAAGGAATTAATTTTGATAAAACTTTTGCTCCAATAGTTAGGCTTGAAGCAATTAAAATGTTATTGACCTTCACATATTCTAAAGGTAAAATGGATGTTAAAAGTAATTTTTTCTAAATGGTTATATTTAAGAAGAGATTTATGTTGAGCAACCACCTAATTTTGAAGATCCATTTATCCAAATTATATTTATAAACTCTTAAAAGTTTTATATAGTTTGAAACAAACTCCTAGAGCTTGGTACGAAACATTAAGTAGTGTTTTTGTTTGTAAATGGTTCTTCTATAGGAAAAGATGATACAACTTTGTGATAACCAACGGCTAGAATATACCAATTATCCCAATTTATTTTGATGATTGTGTTTACTGTTACTAATGATTCTCTTTCTTAAGAGTTTTTCAAAGCTATGCAAGGTGAATTTAGACGAGCATGATGGGAGAGATAAACTTTTTCTTGGGGCTTTAAATCAAATAATCCAAAGATGACATCTTCATCAACCAAAGCATATACACAAAGGAGATACTTAAGAAGTTTGGCATGAACCTTTGTAAAATAATAGTCACTCTTATTAGCACTTCCATTAATCTTGACAAGGATGAATGAGGTAAATATATTGATCCTAGGCTTTATAAAAGCATGATTGCTTCCTTGCTTTACTTAACCACAAGTAGACTAGATATAATGTCTATTGTCTATTTATGTGCTAAATTTCAAGTTTGTTCTAAGGAGTCACAATTAGTTGTAGTTAAAAGAGTCTTTAGGTACCTAAGGGATACTCCCAACCTTGGTTTATGGTATTTTAAGGGTTCTTCCTTGGATGTACATTCATATTTACATGCAAATTATGTAGGGCATAAGATTGATAGAAAAAATTCAAGTAGAACTTCTCAATTTTTTGGTAATATACTCTCATATCATGGTCTTCTAAAAAGCATAATAGTGCTACTTTATCCATAATAGAGGTTGAATATACCACAATTGCAAAGCTGTTGCAATCAAATGTTATGGATGAAACAACAACCTTTGGATTTTGGTATTAGCATGGGTCATATTCCCATTAAATGTGCAATACTAGTGCTATGAATCTCACTAAAAATCCTATCCAATATTCTCGAATAAAGCAAATAAAAATTAGGCACTATTTCATTAAGGAACATGTTGCTAATGGAGATGTTTTTTTGTTGTATGCTGATAATAGAAATAAATTAGTATATATATTTACTAAACTTCTTGATTGCAATCATTTTGACTTTATTAGAAATGAGCTTAACATGTTTGATCTTAGTGCTTGATATGTTATCATGTTGGAGATGGTTAGTTGATTTCTCAATTGTATGTGATTTTGATGCTATGTGATGCTTGAAGTGCGTGATTTATTTATTTATTTTTTTGGGGGTTTGGAATGATCGTAAATGTATTGAAACAATAACCATGGCCAAACAAACTTAAACCCAAAAAATTCAAAATCTGAAGCAAAGATTCGAATTTAAACTTCGATACTTGACTCTTTAAATAGAATTCTTTAAATTAGAATTTTTGAACTAAAGAATCAAATCTTCATTTTGAGATTGAACTCTTGGATTTAAAGAATTGACTCTCCAAAATGACATTTGACTCTCAAGCCAAGGGTTTGAATATAAACCCCAATTTTCAAACTTTTCCCAAATTTCCTCTCCCCTTCTATTTGACTCTCCAAGAGCCTTAACCCTAGCCCTATGCAAATCAAGACTCTTAAGGACCATTAGCTCCAAACTGAGACACCCAAACACATGCCCACACTTGTTTTGGCCTAACCACGAAGGGATTTCAACTTATTCGCAAATGGTGAAAAGAGAGAGTATAATAAAGAAGTAGAACGGTCTTGCACTCACCTTCACTGCTAGGTGACAAATGGTTAAGCAAGAGAGTAGTCAAAGCATAGATGATGAGAAAGTATCCCAACCAGATCACCCTTTTCATTTTGTTTCAAAAAATTCCATAAAATTGTACCACAAATTATCCTATAGAAAGGTAGTTTATAGGCATAGGGTTGAACTTGATGATATCTGTGAATCATATTAAAGAAATGCTTGATGTATTAGGATGGGCATAATTGGCCACTAGGAAAATCTGAATTTATCTTTTATTAATCATATTTTTTTTATGCAAACTTGATTATTTTGAAGATTGGGAGTTGCATTATCATGCTGTTGGGAAAAACCTTTATTTTTTATGTTGAAATTGTTAATGTTGTGCTAAATTGAAATGACCATATAAGGGAGGCCAGGATTTCAATAAATTCATCAAGGAAACTACTTAAAAAAATCATTATAGTAGATTATTAGATGGCTTGTAAGGAGTTGAAGATTAGCAATTTAAATTTAGATTAGCGGGTGATATTTTGGGTGTACAACCACTTTATTATGCCTAGAAAAGAATCCTTTGGAAAGTTTAGTGCCCAATATTGCATATGGTTTGCCTCATTTGTGCTAAAAAAAGCATTAATTTAGGTGTGTAAATCAGGAGACATATGCTTTATCACAAGACTAAGTCAATGATTGCTCTTGTTTATAGACTGCATATTATTTTGCTTATGGGAAATGCGCGTGTGTTGATATGAGTGAGATGGAGTCTCAAGATCTTGGCAGTCATGAGCTTCTCAATAATAGTTCCCTTAAAATGGGCTATAGGCTATGTCTTCAAGCCCAAAACAAATACTTGGGAGGTAAAACCACAAATGAAAAGGGGGGGTAGCTCTGAAGGAGATGAGGAATATCGTGGGGGGGGGGCAACATGAGGATGAGGAAGAAGAAGATGATGGAGATTTTTTACGCCCTTCTATGTCTTCTTATTGGAGGGTTTAAGTATTGTGCTGTGTCCTAGCCATCAAAATGAGAGGTCGAATAAAGTAGGTAGTCAAGATAATCCTAGGTTAGGAGAATGTGTTATACTCAACC